TACCCCAAAGTGCAGAGGTTACTCTTTTCTGAACAAAGAGGAATTAGAAAATACTGAAGGAATTTCTACAGTCTGACTGTAATGTGGGCCTCCACCTTAAGATGAAGGAAAGAAAAACTTGATTCCTTCCTACTTGGACAAATATTTAAGTGTTCACATATCCTTTTGACACTAAAATTGGAGATTGATTTTGTTAATAAAGAAGAGAGAGTCTAGAGAGATAGCTGAGCAGTTAAGAGCTCATGAGGAGGACTCCAGTTTAGTTCCCAGCACCCATGCTGGGCAGCCCACAACCACATGTAACTCCATCTTCAGGAGGGGCCAACGTCTTTGGCCTCTGCAGCCACCTATACTGACGCACATTGCACATACTTACACACAGAACCCCCCCCCACACACACACACATACCCATAGCTTAAAATAATACAATAAACTCTTCAAAACAAGACAAGTGGGGCAAGACTAGGAGAACTTGAAAAGCATCATCTATTTTAATTAACCTCCTCTTCAGTCAAAACATGAAAATCTTCATGTTTATCAGAAAAAAAAAAGTAAAAATAAACTTCAAATTTCTAAGTACTGGCTAAAGTAATTATAAAGAAAAATTGATACCATTAAAATAAACTTTAAAATGATAAAGTTAATGAGCAAGAAAACATAGGGAAAAAACCATTAGTGGATGATATTTAAAAAGTTAAGCAATAGCCAGGCAGTGGTGGTGCACGCCTTTAATCCCAGCACTCGGGAGGCAGAGCCAGGCGGATCTCTGTGAGTTCGAGGCCAGCCTGGGCTACCAAGTGAGTTCCAGGAAAGGTACCAAAGCTACACAGAGAAACCCTGTCTCGAAAAAACCAAAAAAAAAAAAAAAAAAAAAAAGTTAAGCAATAAAAAAGAATGTAGCAAACAGTGACAATGAGTTAATATCCTTAAAAGTTTAGTTATAAAAATTCCTCACAAAACACTGGCGCTTACTACCTAGACATATCCAAGAGCATCCTCACACATGCTTGTTTCCTGCCTTCATCCTAGTGGGGCTGCTAATTAGCACTTAAATAACATCAACCAAAAAAGAAACAATAAAATATGCAAAAAAAAAAAGAATGAGTGCCATCATACTAAAACAATTATTAAAGATGCTACTCAGCAGGAGTGATGTTTTCATCAAAACAAACTCTCTAGCATACTGTTCATGAAGTATAATTATCTGTTAACAGTTTTAAAAGCCAACTGACAGTCTTACTAAGACCCTTATTTGGAAATACTAAATCAGCTACAATTATTCTGTCCTAATGAATCAACCCTCAATTAAATGAAGGCTTTATGTTGGTTGTTAGTGCTCGCGTAGCACTGTGTATGCACCAAATATCTGTGCTTCACAAATACAATGATGATACAGCCTGCAAATATTGGAACAAATGCAATTCAGGCGTGGGAGCTATGGACCACCAGTCCCCTCCCTGCTCACTTCAGTATAAACTCATCCAACCAAAGGGAAGTGTCAAATTTAATAACAGTCTTCCCTTGACAGATTATTATATACACATTAAAATTAGGTTTATTAACAATTTGTCATACTATAAAGCATGCATATTACAATGAGTGAAAATTTTCAATCAAAACTGTGCATCTATGCTACTTTAACTCTACTAATTGCTCATAGAAAGCCTACTAAAGGAGATCACATTAAATCTTAGCAGTAGTTAACTTTCATGTGGGCAGTATTGGAATTTGGCCCTTTTACACATAGATTCCATCGTCATTATTCACTATATTAAACTAATTCATTCATTTTAATTGAAAATATCTGTAAAATACAAATTCCTTAGGGGTCCACAAGATGGCTCAGTGGATAAAGTCACTTCCTACCGAGGTTCACAATCTATTCTTAATTCCCAGGACCCACATGGTAGAGAAAGGGAAAACTGATTCCTACAAGTTGTCCTCTGACCTCTGCATAGGCACTATGTCATACAGACACACAGACACAGACACACACACAAAGATAAGTATTATAAAAATATTTTTAAGAATACAAACTCCTCAACCGTAGAGACAACATATTCAAAGCATAATTATGTATAGTCCAATAGACTTTACTAGATACATGAACTGAGTATTGAGATTATATGAGTATAAACACATTTTTAAGATAAATATAATTAAACTAATTAGCATATTGCAATTTACTTTTCCCAGTTAATAAGATGTCATAGACAGATATTTTATTTCTATAGTCAGAATTTCAGTTTTTAACCACTGTTACTAAAGTGAAAAGCACATTTCCACATGCGTGGAGTAAGAATCCAGGAGTGAGTGGCTCCTTGGCAAAGGCATGTACACAAGCTGTTATATCAGGATTTAAGAATGAGTGAATTAATGAATGGAAAAAAAAAAAACAGAACATGACTTAAACCCCTGCAAGAAGCAGAGTAGCTGGGATTAGAGTAAAACACTGCAGACAAATCTATCTTAGGAGACTAAAGTACCCTTTTACAAGAAAAATTGTCCTCTTAAATTATTCCTTTAGTTTTTTGAGATTGTGACACTGCACCTCTTTGCTTCCCTTCGCTCCCTCCAAGCCCTCCTGTGTCCCCTTCCTTGCTCTCTTTCAAAGTCAAGGCTTCTTTCTTCATTTATTGTCATTACATGCAAATATGTGTCTATTCTAAGGATACAGACAAAACCTCCTCGGTTTATATAATCTTACTTGTATGTATGTGTAAATACTTTAAGAAAAAGAACAAGCTAAAAACAAAAACACAAACAAAACCACCTCTTTGGAGGCGTGTAGTCTTGCCAAATTATTTCTTATTTTAAAAGATCTGATGCTTGTGGACACCTGTCTTTGCTCTTAAAAAAGTAAGTGCAGTTGACATCTCAGTGTAACTATCTGACAGCCAAACACAACTGTGCACTGGTCCTACATGTATGTGCAGCAGTGAGAACAGAGCACAGAGGTGAGCTGGCATGAACACGGTTCATTATGGAACTTCCTGTGTAAAAGGGTTACACATGCCACATGTGTAACACAGCATGCCAAGTGAGTAACGCTTTCCCAGGTCTTACTTCAAGCAAAGCTATGGTTAATGTACCAAAATTCAGTCTAACACTTTTGGGGCATGTAGACTATGTCAAGGGATGGAGCCCCGGATGCCTATATTCCCAGGTTTTGCAGGCACAGCAGGGGCTTCATTAAAATTTGTGATAAAATTCTATTCACCCAAGCTAAATTCTGTTCAGGGACTTGATGGCTACTGATATGTTCTCATCCTCTCTGTGATGAGATTTTTAAGCACTCCAGACAACACACAGATCAAAGCTCAGCAAACTAGAGCCTTGGGGAACACATCCAGCCTCGCTCCTGCCCTTGGAAACAAAGATTTACTGGAACATGGCCAGACTCATTCCTTTACCCATTGCCTGTGGCTACTGTCACACTGCAATTGCAGAGATGAGATGACATAGCTGAGAATCCAAGACCTGTAGGTACTAACATGCTTCTCCCTACCTCTTCAAAAGAGGCTTGTCAATTTCTGATTTTGAATTATGCTCGAAAAATCAATTCCTCGATACTTATTTTCTACTTTCCTTTAAGAGTACTGGTATTTCCAGAACAACAACAAAATAATAGTGCATGTCTGTTCTTATTCTAGAATAGCATGCTCCGTGCTCAGTTGGAGTCAGGTGTTAGGGCTGAGAGTCATAAGTCAAACCCTCTCTCTACATTTGACTACTTAAGTAAATTTCTGGGCCTCAGTTTACTCATCTTTAAAGTGAGGATCATGAAAGCACCTTCCTTAAAGAGTGAGACCAAGAGTTGGGTGACTTTCCCTCAGCACAGTGCCTGGTAACCCATGAAACCTGGATGAGCAGACAACACCGTTCCTATAATGTACTGGCCATTGCACCTCCAAATCACAACTACACAAACTCTGTAACATCTCTATGGGTCTTTCCAGCTCTCAGGCTCTGTAGTTCTCCATGGAGAAGAGACTGAGCTACCCAGGTGCCGGAGTTAATTGTATTTCAGATACCATATGAATGTATGTAAGCTACAGAAAGATACAAAATGTAGATCATAAGTTTGTCCTATGAAATGTAGGGACTGGAGAATATATTCACAGGGGTCGCAGAATATATAGTCTCTGCCAAGCTCTTCTACATACCTTGAAGCTGAACTCTTAAAATCTATTTAGTAACAATCAGCACACAAGACAACAGGGAACTGGCAACATAATCCCATAACCGTGACATCCAACAAGCACAGAGAATGTATGTATATACGTCATCGGCAATTTCTTTTAATTGGAAAGCAGAATAAAGTTGCCCACAATGAGACTTAATTTAATAAAGCAGCATGTTCCCAGTGACTAGTTTATACAGGGAAGATCCTTGTCTCTTTCTCTCTCATGGCTCTCACCCCCATTCCCTTCCCTCCCTCTCCTGCTCCTTCTGAAAGATGGCCACAGGAGAGGTTACCATCAGGGTCTGAGTAACTTAAGATGAGCTCCCACAAAGGTAGGACATTTAGCTGGATTTTAGAGGCTCAACAGGCAGGACTGAGGAGTGGAGCCTGAGTTCTGGAAGGCGAGATGCTGGTCTCCATGAAACCAAAGGGCTACTGGAATCAGGACAATGTAAGAAGACTTGATGAAGCAGATCCCTGAGGCCATCATGAGGATTTGTGGCTTTTCTCAGAAGGTACAGGATACCGCAGGAAGTCCCACAATAGGAAAGTGAGATGAGAGTGGGATATGCCACAAAATAAAGCAGGTCACAGCACAGAGACTGTGGCTAGGAGTAGCCATGAGTCACTAGCACTCTTCCTGGCCTTGAGGTTCTTGGGTGACTCCACAGGACATTCAGACCCAAATAGCTTTACCTTTAAAAAAAAAAGTCTTTTTCTGAAAGCTGTCATTGACTACCATTTTTAACAGAGAGACGTCTAAATGTGTAGCACTCTTGGTCTCCACACTTCCCACTCTAGTGTCTCACTTACCGAGGAGAGAGAGGGTAGAGCCGGGTGGCTTCCGTCATGAATCACACTGAACTGTGCAGCCACATGGGCACCCAAGCCCAGTTTTCACACACCAGCCCTTCAACAAATAAGAAGAGACAGAGGTCAAGTTAGCTCATATTAAAACACTACAGTCTTCGCTTATGAAGGCTAGGGAGTTCCATCAACGCCCTAACAACCAGTACAAGAATCTCTAGCAACACAGGAGGGAAAGAGACACAGTACAGCTCAGTGATCACCGTTAGGAGAGACCTAAATTAGCAATATAGACACCACTGGGGTTTTTTTCTTGGAAAAAAAAAGATAAACTTAAAAAATGATGCTGATTGTTTTCTTTCAAGATTTATTTTAGTTTGAATTCTTCATCTGGGTGTGAGGTGTATGTGCTAGTGAGTGTGGGTGCCCACAAAGGCCAGAAGCTTCAAATTCCCTGCAGATGGAGTTAGAGGCAGGCATAAGCTTCCTGATATGTGAGCTGGGAACCAAATGCAGGACCTCTGCAAGAGCATACACTCTCTTAACTGCTGAGCAATCTCTCCAGCCTGCAGAAATAAAAATTTTAGTGCTGTTCAACATGTGAAAAAAAAAATCTCATGAAACGTCCAAAGGGGCCATTATTTCAAAGTCCCTGGAATTACTTTAAGCAGTTTGAAGATAAAAATGTGCCCATTTTAATGGTTCCTTCATTGTAAATCTTAGACAAAAGTTCCTAAAAATAAAGCATTTCACAAGGTGTTAGTTAAAGGTCGGTACAGCATAAACTACACCTGAGTCTGAGTTGGCACTGTCACATGACCATGTGTTTTCTGCACAGTTATAAGACTTAATAAGAAAAGATATCCAGTATCACAAAATCAATTCACCTCACCAAAAGCCAGAAAACATATTGTATCTCCTCATAAATGTATTCTATTAAAACAAGAAAACCATATTGTAATGCCGAACACATACACAAGAGCCTGAAGTAGGTGGCTCCCCACTTGCTATCCAAGCAGTGACATGTCTGCTCTTGGTGAAGGACATCTCTGACTTCCAAGGCTGAACACCAGCGCCTGCCTTTCCTTTCTCCTTGTTCATCATGTGTCTCTCTTTCTCCTCTTGGTTTCTGCTATTGTACATGTGAAGCACACTGGGGTCCTCTATCCTCACCCACACACTAGAGAACAGCTGTGAACGATGATGAGAAAATGAGAAGACCTTCCAGGACATTCTGCAACTCTTCCACTCAATGAGCCCCATGTGGCACATATCAATAATGATCAAAAGCCAAGAAGTCTCCACAAAATAGCCCACATTTTAATATAATTGCTGAAAGTGTACAAAATGGAATCTGCTGAAATGCCTTTAGGGGTGTCCTGGGTTTTGGGGGCACAGAGAGCGGGGAGACAGCGACACTGCCATTCTATGCGGCTTCCAGCTTCTAGGAGAGGACTATGGAGAGTATGGAGAATTCAAGAGAAGCAAGGAAGTGACTCAGGGCGGCTTTGGAAGAGCTTGCCATGAAGACGCCAGAGGGGCCCAGGTGCAACCCTATCCTCGAGCATTGCCAACTCCAAGGCCTCACTGGGGTCTTCATGACCAGTGATATCATCTGCTGGAAGGGATAAGGTACAGATGCAACTCTTTGAGGCCAAAAGAAAGGTCAAGGAGCTTTCCCCAAGGTAAAGAGGCATGCTCAGTCCAGGAAGATAATGTAAAACAGCCCATTTATTTTTTTTCTCATCACCAATAATATCTCCTATGGGTGTGGCAATAAAATGTTGATTAGGACATTATATTAAATAGCATTTTTGAACACAGGAGTTGTTTCTCTTGGGCCCTACAATCTACTTTATAGCAATTACTACTAAAATTCCTTCACATTTGCTTGTTTAGATCATAGTCTAGGTTTAATAGCAGAATTGGAGAGATCTACTGTTTCCCACTCTGGCTCTGTGTCTGTGTCTTGTGATAACAACACAACACAAAAAATTTAAATTAAAAATAGATGATGAGTGAAGATTTAGCTCAAGGGTAGAGTGCTTGCCTAGCAAGCATAAGGTCCTGAGTTCTGTCCTCAACTCTGAGAGAGGAAAAAAAAATTACATCACAGACTTTCTAACTCCTTAAGTGCTGGTGGCGCACGCCTTTAATCCCAGCACTTGGGAGGCAGAGGCAGGTATATCTCCATGAGTTCAAGGCCAGCTTGGTCTACCATGCTAGTAAGGGCTACACAAAGAAACCCTGTCTTGAAAAACCAAGTATCTACATATGATGAGCCTCCCAATCCTCCCCATGTGAGGTCACAGATTAGTTGATACAGAGCCTCATCTGGACTTAGGAATGACATCCCCAGAACAAAGCATTTTGTTAATTGACAAAGAAGATGAAGAAAAAAAAAAAAAGAACACTTTAAGAATTGAGGACTGGTGGTACAAACAGAGCAGATAATGCAGAAGAGAACATCCCTGCTTAATCCAAACAGGGCCAACCATAGCCAGGGCAGGCAGACAGTCGCAGAACAACTCATCCTGTAAAACCTGCCTCTTTCCTCTTTGAATATTACACTGTGATGGACAGACCACCTGTGGTTGAGAAAAGCACAACTCCCTTCAGAACCTGACATCAGAATAAAAAGACAGGATGGCAACAGGAGTCAGGCACACTCCTACAGCATTCTAACTGTGCCTGTGCTTGCACCAACAGTGAAATGGGCAGCCACTAGCCTTATGCCTGACAGCTAAGCTAGCAACAGCAAGACCTTTCTCCTGAAGCTCAGCCACTATCCAGTCAGCTGTTGAAGCATTTCGGGAACTTATGCAGTTCAAAGGAGCACCTGCATGGGCCAAGGTGCAGGGGCTCGGGTGCAGCAACTGCAGTAGCATACCAAGCCCTTAGCAGGAGTCACGTGAAAGGAACATTCCTCCAGATGGAGAAGCCCATCTTGCTTATGGGACTTGGTCACAGTGAAGACGTAAGTCACAGATCACTCAAAGAAATTCTAGAAAACTGACGGGAGTCAGAAGTAAAGAGGCTGCACTGTCCCAGAGGCACAGGCATCTGACTTAGTAACATCAGTTCCCCATTTGTCTCAATTTCCTGCTGACATCACTCCTTCCTTTTTGTACATGGCATCGACCTTGATACAATCTCTAAAGTTGAACAGAACCACTATGGGGGAAAACAATCTACCTCTAGGAATGCAAGTGCGGAATTATCACTAGAACTCTTGTTGATGCACAAATAATTGTTTCCAGAAGTTTCATCTCACAACTAACTCCATGGGTTCTTAAAGTGTCTCCAAGTGAAAATGATGAAACGAAATGTAAGCATCAATTACGGCTTACTAAGTGCCCATCAGCACAAGGCTTTGAACATAAATATGCTTTATTCTCTCTGATCACCCTACTCAGCAGGAGGTAGTGTGGATTTATAAATTCTTGTGGAGACCGAAGTTCAGCTAGACAGCAGCCTTTATTCTACAAATCCAAGAAATAAATGCACATTTTAGGCAGAGTTCATCTTGGGGTTTTGAGAATACTAAAATCACATTGAAAATCAAATGAAAATAGAAATCAAATTAAAATAGACAGACTTTCCACCTAGTATCATAATATCTAAAAGAAACTTTATCAGATAGAGGCTTAATAAACCTAAAAAAGGTCAGGCTAGGATTTCTCAACTTGGAAGATCTGAGCAGTGGCAATGTCTTGTCATCAGTGTGTAGGTCCCATAGTAACTATGTCCTACACATCCTGATGGCAATGTTTAGGAAAGAGCTAGAAAACAATTCAGAAAGAAGCTGTGCTCTCAGGAGATTACACAAAGCATTATGATTTTTCTATTATATAATTTAACAAATACTATGAAGCTGGAGGGAAGCAAAGTTAATTGCAGGTAAAACAGTCAAAAAGCTACCCGAGGGAAAAATGACAGGGGACACTGGCTTCAATTGATGAGTAGAAAGAGGTTAGAATGTGAAAAGAGGTGATGAAATACGTCCAGCTGGATAAATTACAAGTGGAGGAAATAGCAAACTCATCAGCCATGACTGAGAATCATCAGCAGTAAGTAAAGAGGCATTGTGGTCAACCCATGCTGAGTTGGACATGAGTGTCTGGTACCATCGTTTGGGTTTGGTGTATTGACAGAACTGAGGCATAGGGCCACCACAAAAAGGACTCCACAAGAATACACAAGGAGCAGGACTGTCTGGAAGAAAGCAATTCTGCTAAGGAGGAAAATGAGGACCGCAGAGAACTAGGAGCCACAAGCAGAAAGATGCCCTTTTTTATCATGTTTTCATGGGAAACAAGAAAAATGAAAGAATTTCCTTTAAAAAGCTAAGGAACAGGGAGGGATAGCCTCCCAAATGTTGGGGTATCAGAGAAGTGCCTGGCAAGGGAGCGAGTCCCCACATCCACATCAAAACTACCACCACACATGACCAATGCGAGAAAGACCCAAGGGAGCCACACTAGATACTGATAGATGGGAAAGCAGATGACAAACAGACTCCAGGGAACGTCAACTGCAGAAAGAGATGAGACCTAATACAAAGGAGAGGAGAGGAGAGGAGCTGAGGTTCAGTGGAATGTCAGGATAAGAGGATTTTAAAAGCATCAGCATGGCTGTTCTGCAGAGGACAGGAAAAGGGAACCATAAGGCAGGCCAGGGGCTAAACAAGAGACCTTTCATTATTAGAAGTTTTGAAGAAATTGTTAACCTTGAAATTGCAAAGAAAGGCCTTCCCCAAATCAGTTCCTAGGGGGTACACTTTGATCCCTTCAAATATTCTGTGAAATAGTAGTCCACTTGAATTTCATGATATTGTAATACATGATAGATAGTCTATGCTAACAATGGGGTCTATGGTGTGGGCTTTGTGCCACTCATCACGGGTCTGACTTCAGTATGGGTTGTAGACTATGGTCAACCACATAGGCAATCAGCCATACTTACCTGATCCATTCCCAATAAAACCCTGGAAACCAAGAACAGGGGTTTGCTTCTTTGAGTGACAGTGCTCCACATCTTGTACTCAGTATATTTTGAACTAGAATGAAACACTGTCCACTTTATCCCACTGGGAAAGATAAC